CTCCCCACAAAAAAGACATTGAGGGGCTGGAGCGGGTCCAGAGAAGGGCAAGGGAGCTGGGGAGGGGTCTGGAGAAGAAGTCTGATGAGGAGAGGCTGAGGGAGCTGGGGGGGTTCAGCCTGGAGAAAAGGAGGCTGAGGGGAGACCTTCTGGCTCTCTCCAACTCCCCGAAAGGAGGGTGTAGCCAGGGGGGGTCGGTCTCTGCTCCCAACTCACAGGCCATGGGACAAGAGGAAACGGCCTCAAGTTGCACCAGGGGAGGTTCAGATTGGAGATTGGGAACAATTTTTCCACGGAAAGGGTTCTTATGCCTTGGAATGGGCTGCCCAGGGCAGGGGTTGAGGCCCCATCCCTGGAGGGATTTCAAAGCCGGGTTGCCATAGTGCTTAGAGCCATGGGTTAGTGATGGGTTTTATCAGTGAGGTTGATGGTTGGACCAAATGATCCGAAAGGTCCCTTCCAACCCTGACAAGTCTATGATTCTCAGTGAAGTATCGTAGCTCGGTCACAGCCCTTGTCTCACACAATTTTACTGGACACACAGAGCAACCTACAGGGAGGAGGGGGGATCAAAGCAGGGTTGAAGACACCGAGCTACAGAATTGAGCCCTGATCTCCACGTTCTGTGTTCTCAGAGAAACTGAAGTCAAACCATAATTTAGAAATAGAAGAAACTACTTGCTAGAAATGACAGCTAATTACTGTCTTTTTCTACACTCTGTCCATCTCTGCTGGAAATGCTGAAAAGAGTATTTAGGTGGATTTTCTTTAGAAAATGAAAAGTAAATGGTGATTAGTTGGGTATATTTTCAAATTGTGAGGGTTTTGGTGTTTCGGACTCTGGATTGCTGTCAGGGTTGGGGAGTCTATTGAAATACAGGAATTATTTCCTCCTGAGAAATAAGGAATTCCTGCGTTCTAAACCCAGTTTTGGTAACTAGATTTTGTGGTGTCTGAATAACCCACTGTTTTGGCACCTGCTGTACAAAGGCACCTTTTTTTTTTTTTCTTTTCCTGTAAAATCAATTAATGCATGGATTTCTTTTAGATCATTAGAGATATCTTTGCAGAGAGATTTAGGTGTTAGTTTCTTTGCTTAGAGTCCATAAAGTTTCCTGGTGAGGTTAATGCCTGAATTTATCCTTGTAGGAAAGAGATGTGGTAACCTTACATCCATGTTTTATATATTTTTATATGTGTAATTTTTTTCTAATTACTCGATAATTAATAGAGCACCTCTAAATGTATTTTGTAAATAAAAATGATGTGATAATACTGACTGTTGTTCTAAAGCTGTCTGGTGTTAAACTATTGCAACGAAAGAGAAAAAATCCCATGTTTTCAGCATTTAATACAAACTATTTGACCACTGTGGGAAAAAATAAGTAATTTCCCAGCAAACAGTTAATTTTACTTGGACAAAAGATAGCCTTGCAATGCAAAATGTGCACTTTTTTTCTTCAGTTAAATTGTTTAGAAAGCAGAAATTATATCTCGCTATCAAGTAGTAAATTGAAATGTCAGTGTTTTGTTTTGTCCCTGAAACTCTTCTTTGAGCTGAGTCCTTCTGACAAGATATTAACAGCTCCGAAAGCTGAAAATCTCTTACTCTGGGAAAGAAGTATTTACCAAATATCAGGGTGTGTTCTAGCTGACTTTGCTCTCAAGGTACAATTTTATACTCCGAAGAAGTACTGTCAATTTTTTTTTCTCATCCATTTAATATATTTCCTATGAATTTTAGCAGCAGCCCATTCTTTAGGAAAAAAAACCCCACAAAACCAGAATATAGATGTGGTTTTCTGTCAGTTCATTGAAGTTACTGGTAACTGTAGATTAGGAATCCAAATGCGTTTTACTGTCTGCAAGATGTAAATAAAACTGGGTTTGTGTTAAATTGCCACTCGTGGTGTCCCATCTCACCAGAGTCCTTTGTCTGCAGCTCTGGCAGGAGCCGATGCGTTGTCCTGCTGGGGTCACAGTGGATGGTGGTTGCTCTCCCACTGACACCACCCAACGGGATACATGGCCTTGGCCAACACGATGAGTCAGATTGCTTTTTTCCCCCCAGAAAAATCATAAAACTTGAGCTTCTTTTCATATGTATGACTTGAGTTTTTCTCTCCTTCCTCTCTACAGACGAAACTTGCCAATGGCACTTCCAGCATGATTGTGCCCAAGCAAAGAAAACTCTCTGCGAGCTATGAGAAGGAGAAGGAGCTCTGCGTCAAGTATTTTGAACAGTGGTCCGAGTCTGACCAGGTGGAGTTTGTGGAGCACCTCATCTCCCAGATGTGTCACTACCAGCACGGGCATATCAACTCATACCTCAAACCCATGTTACAGCGGGACTTCATCACCGCGCTGCCAGGTATTCCTGCAGGTGGAGGGACCTTCCTCCTCTCTCCTGTCTTTCAGAAAATTAATTCCTCTTTGGCCTACCCTGCTGGAGAGGTGTTTTCCTAGGGTCAGTTAGCAAAGTAGATGATAGCTTTTGAAAGAAAAGCTCTGTACCCGTATGAAACGTGGTAATCTATTGGTTTGTATTCCTGCTGTCTCTCATGTGATCTAATACCAACAAGGTTTGGTGAGGAGTAAATGGTAGCTCATGTATCTATTGTAAGGACAGTCATCACAAGCCACAGGGCAGGTAGTTGTAGTCATAATGCCCACAACGACGCATGGATAACAGAATCACAGAATCTTCTAGGTTGGAAGGGACCTTAAAGATCATCTTGTCCAACCTAATTTTGACAAAAATATACACCCACACAACAAACAAAAAGCAACACCATCACTAAACCATATCTCCCAGCACTACATCAACCCCTCTTTTGAACACCTCCAGGGATGGTGCCTCAACCACCTCCCTGGGCAGCCCATTCCAAGGCATAAGAACCCTTTCCGTGGAAAAATTGTTCCCAATCTCCAATCTGAACCTCCCCTGGTGCAACTTGAGGCCGTTTCCTCTTGTCCCATGGCCTGTGACTTGGGAGCAGAGACCGACCCCCCCTGGCTACACCCTCCTTTCGGGGAGTTGGAGAGAGCCAGAAGGTCTCCCCTCAGCCTCCTTTTCTCCAGGCTGAACCCCCCAGCTCCCTCAGCCTCTCCTCATCAGACTTCTTCTCCAGACCCCTCCCCAGCTCCATTGCCCTTCTCTGGACCCACTCCAGCCCCTCAAGGTCTTTTTTTGTGGGGAGGGGCCCAAAACTGGACCCAGCCCTCGAGGTGGGGCCTCACCAGTGCCCAGGACAGGGGGACCATCACCTCCCGAGTCCTCCTCCCCACGCTGTTCCTGACCCAGGCCAGGATGCTGGTGGCCTTCTTGGCCACCTGGGCACACTGCTGGCTCCTGTTCAGCCGACAGGCGCCCAACACCCCCAGGTCCTTTTCTGCCAGGCAGCTCCAGCCACTCTGCCCCCAGCCTGGAGCGCTGCAGGGGTTGGTGTGACCCAATTGGAGGGCCCAGCACTTGGCCTTGTTGAACGTCATCCCGTTATTATTTTTAAAATTAGAACTACTACTCTTTTTGGTTGCTCAGCTGAGGTTTCCCCTTTTCTTAGATTCTTTTTGTGTCTCTGTTTCATAGTAAAATTCCTTCCTGAAGCCATCACTTTGATTATGTGTTTACTGCTAATGGAGGACATAAGATTAAAGGATGGAAATGTTCTATTTTTTGCACCTCTGTAGTGCGAGAATATTATCCCAGCTGTTCTGGGCTGTGGCTGGTGGTGGATCTTGCAGAATGCACACGTAAAGTCCTCAGCACAGGAAGGACATGGACCTGTGGGAACAGGTCCAGCAGAGGGCCATGAAGATGCTCCGAGGGCTGGAGCCCCTCTGCTGTGAAGACAGACTGAGAGAGCTGGGGGTGTTCATCCTGGAGAAGAGAAGACTCCGGGGAGACCTTATAATGGCCTTCCAGTACCTGAAGGGGCTCCAGGAGAGATGGGGAGGGACTCCTGGTCAGGGAGGGGAGTGACAGGACAAGGGGTAACGGTTTTAAACTGAAAGAGGGGAGATTTAGATCAGATATTGGGAAAAAATTTTTCACTATGAGAGCGGTGAGAGCCTGGCCCAGGTTGCCCAGAGAAGCTGTGGCTGCCCCATCCCTGGAGGGGTTCAAGGCCAGGCTGGATGGGGCTTGGAGCAACCTGGTCTGGTGGGAGGTGTCCCTGCCCAGGGCAGGGGGTTGGAACTGGATGATCTTTAAGGTCCCTTCCAACTCTGACCATTCTATGATTCTGTGATAAAATAGTGTACCTGCAGTTTTATATTGGCCTGGTCTTACAGGCAGGAAAACTGAGGCAGTGGGAGATCAAATATATACAACAACAGAGTTTCAGAACCGGCCAGAAATTCCTGGCTCTCTGGGGTTTTTTTCAGACCAGTAGGTCATACCTGTGTAGATGAAGAGATAGAGGGTTAATAGATCAGCATTCCCGTGGCACAGTTCCCTGGTTTCAGATGGACCTGAGCAAGAAGCAGTACAGGTGGTGTCTCTGAATTGCTAGTTGAAGAGAGGAGTTTCTTGCCAAATGCTTGTTCTGTTCATACCTTTGGAGAACGACAATTTGTTGAAATTCTCATTCTTCAGAAGGGATTTCTCAACGTGAAATTTCAAGTTCTAGGGTTTAAAGATGGCAAAAAGCATGTTTAACTGTGAATTGTACAAAACATAAAGGCACTGCAGGAGTTTTGCTATGAAGTTAAATACGTAGACTCACTCGAGCTTTAAGCTCATTGTGCCCAGTAATCAAATAGCTGTTGTAGCATTAAAAAAAAAATCTTAGTTATGCTAAGTACCTGCTTTATGTTAGTTTTTAGTTGTCCGATGGCAATAATCTTGTGTACTTAGAGCAGCATTATAACTCCTGGAGCTGTTCTGTTTCAGAAAAACAGAGAGTATTTTGAAAGTGCATTGGTTTCCCCACTTTTGAAGTATACATAGAGTTCCATACACAATTTTTCTAGGTCTTTCTCCACAAAGCTCCATCAAAGCAAGCCAAGATGTCTCATTTGCACTTGCTTAATTTCATCCTGCAGGCCTTTTTCTGAAAATTTTGGGCAAATATTATAAACATTTTCAGAGGCACTCGAAATTTCCTAGCCATCCCTTATTTGTTAGTGGTCTTTTCAGTTCCCCAGGAAGCAGCTAATTTTACTTTCTCGGGACGCAGAACAGATAGGAATCACATCTGAGTATCTGAATAGTTGTGGGACCTGTGTGCTTAAATAATGTATGGGCATCAATTTGCATATTTGCAAGCTGGTAATGTCGTAGTGAATATAGCTCTAAGGGAGAAAATTAATGGCAGGGAATTAAGCTGGCGCAGGCTCTGCAGTCTGTGCAGGATGTCCTGAGTATAGGCAGGTTTCTAATGAGCAGAATGGGTAAGGGTAGGGTAAGAAACTGCCTAGGAAGGAGTGATGAACCTAAAATTTCAAATTAAGTCACATAATCAAAAAAAAAAAGAACCCCAAACTCTGTAAGTATCTTTTAGCTTTCTGAAATTCTCCAGCGTTCAGTATTGTGGTTTCATTTTTACTCCTTCATTCTCTCTCTGGCTCTCCCCCTCGAGTAAATAAAACAATAAAGCTACTTCAAAATCATGAGGCATCTTATCTCTGTCCTCCTAGCACTGTCCCAAAGAACGACCAGAATTAAAGGTAGTTTTAGATCATGAGCACCCCTTACTAATATAGAGTAAAATTGGCTCAGACTGTTTTCCCAGTACTTTGGACAGAATTAAGGTTGTTTGAAAAATGCAGCTTAACTGTGTACTTAACAAACTTTGTTCTGTTTCTGAAAAATAAGGTCTCTGTTTAGCATTTCCAAGCTGTTTAACATTTTTTATGAGGAAAGTAATTTTTAAAAGGGTTTAATGTGTGAAATAACTGAAATGTTCATGTTGGTATGGACGACTTGAATGGCTAATCGTGTTTCACGTCGATTTAACAGAAACTTTGGTGAGCAGAGATTTCTCTTTTTTAAGGAAGTGATGTTTTGTTAGATATATGTCTCAGAGAGTGTGCTGTTCCTAAGAAACTTAATTACAAAATTGAGTTTGCAGCCAGGCAAAATAACTGTGCCCTTCCACTTACCATAAGTGTAAGAAGAAGAGGCCAAAACAGTAGTTATTCCTTCTCTGCCAAGGGTCAAGGATCAATAGCAAAGGGTGGCTTAGCATCAGAGAATCACAGAATTGTCTGGGTTGGAAGGGACCTTTCAGATCATCCAGCCCAACCACCAACCTCACTCTGATAAAACCATCACTAACCCATGGCTCTAAGCACTATGGCAACCCGGCTTTGAAATCCCTCCAGGGATGGGGCCTCAACCCCTGCCCTGGGCAGCCCATTCCAAGGCTTAAGAACCCTTTCCGTGGAAAAATTGTTCCTCATCTCCAATCTGAACCTCCCCTGGTGCAACTTGAGGCCGTTTCCTCTTGTCCCATCACCTGTGACTTGGGAGCAGAGACCGATCACTGTCTCTCTACAACCAGCTTACGGTCAGGCAGGTGGTCACACCACCTCATGGCAACAAGATGTAAAGTGCAGCTACTGATGATGCAGAAAGGGTCGGTGGATCCGAGGCAAACTTATGGGTGAAGATTGCTGGGCTCAGTTTATTGTTGGCTCCTTCTTAAAGCCACCAGTCTGTTCCCTGTATAAAATAATTCCTTGTTGTGCTGCTTGCATAAAGCCACCAGTATGGATACTGCAAAGGCATTTGTAAATGTCCTGCTGGGTCTGTAGACATCTTTGGGTCCATTGGAAGGAACACAGACTGGGAAAGCAAATATGCTATTTCCACCCAGCTCAGGGCTGCAGGTTTCCGGGGGTATCTGAGGAAGCAGAAGGACACAATATCCCTGTCTGCCCTTCCAAATTGTGGAATTCCTGCAAATTCCAACTTACTTTCACTATAACGTTGTATCTCTCCTTCCACGAGTGGCTGTAGAGTCAATCTAAATTTACAAACACTCTTTTTTTAAAGGATTTTATATAGTGGCTGTATATATGTTTTCAGATTAAATACATAATAAAGGCTGCTGATGCTTTTATTCTGCGGGCTGACATCTAATTTTGCATCTATAAAGATAAGAAATGTCAGGCCTCTTTCTGCACTCGCTGGTCGTGCGTGGTACCGTTCACAGGCTTTTCCTACCTAGGAATGGAAGCATAAAACGCTGGGCAAGAACATCTCACCCAAAATGTATTATAAATTTAGGATGTTTGGAAGGAGTGAGAGGAGGCACGTTGAGTTTTCTTGTTTTCCTGCATTGGGAGATAATTCTGAGATCTTTTGGTTAACAAAAACAAAGGTTGGGCCTTTTTTGGGTCTCAGAATCAGCTGCTTGTGCCTGGTTTGGCTCTGCAGAAGGACGGACACGGGACTGTAAAAACACATTTGCTGCTTTTTCTTTCCCTGGCACAAGCAAAGCCTGGTCTTTGAGGCTGTTGTTTGAAAAGCAAGAAAAGAGGTCTTTAACTCTGTCCCGAATGTGAACCAGGGGGAAGATGCATGAAATACCAATCTGCCATGCTTCCTTTTTTTGGTTGGTTTCAACATTATGCCTGAGGGTTGGTGGAGTCTAAACTGCATCTTTCCCAAAGGCTCTGAAGTTTGCCTGGTGAAGTGAGATAACCTCTCGACGGTGCGTCTCACTTGTGGATTAAACAGCCTCCGACTGAGGCTGTAGTTGTGCAACATCTCATTTAAAAGGCCTCTTATTTTCCTGAGGTCTTGCTGGTGCTTAGATTTGAGTGGGGAAGGGCGTATTTTTACTGGATGCATCCATCCAGTTGAGAGACGTAGCGTAACCTGCCCTGGCCCCCAGCCACACAGACTTTCCATGGGGCTGCTGGGTGCTAACCCAGCCATTGCTTTACATCTCACTCCAGCCAGCCTTGGGATTCACACTGGAAAATAGTTGCAAATTGTTCCATTTTTGGTGCATATTTTTCCTCCACCCGCTAAAATAAATGAAACTAGCAAACCTGCTTCACTTTCTTCTTGCACAGCCTCTCCTCCCCTCTCCACTTTCCCTGTGCATCTGCATATCCTTCCCTCCCCCATGTCTAAAGGTACCACTACCCTTCAGGGCACACATTGGGAATATATATTTTTTTCTTCATTACGTTTAAAAGCTACTGCTTTAGCAAAAACAGCTTTTGAGCCGTTGGAACATGAGAACAGCTGTAGCAGTGAGATGAGAAATGGTCCTAATATAGAGAGATTTTGGGGGCTGCGTCGCTGAGTTGGAAATGCCATCCATAGAATATCCCCCTAGTGCTAAAACCCATCGAAATAGATTGGAATGACTTCTTGGATTCTTTATTATTTTTAATGACTTGTTGTGTTATATCCAAAGGAAGTTGGAGAACGCTCTTCACTCCTGAACTTCGCTGCAAATGCTCTTCTGTGCATTTTGTCCAGCTCTGCGTGCCGAGGAGTAGATGGAAAGAGAGGGGATCTTTGTACCGTTGAGGGGAGTTGTATTAAGCTCCACGTCTCCCCAGCAAATAATCCCTTTTTTTTTCTTTTTTTTTTTCTTTTCTTTTCCCTCCCCCAGCTCGGGGATTGGATCACATTGCTGAGAACATTCTGTCCTACCTGGATGCCAAGTCGTTGTGTGCTGCTGAGCTGGTGTGCAAGGAGTGGTACCGGGTGACGTCGGATGGGATGCTGTGGAAGAAGCTCATCGAGAGGATGGTCAGGACAGACTCCCTCTGGAGGGGCTTGTCGGAGAGGAGAGGATGGTGAGGGAATTGCATCTTCACCTCTTTTGCCCCCGTTCAGGACAGTAGGTGCCACGTGCTTCAAACCCTGTTTGAAGAGGATTATTTAACACCCTGAAACATCACGTTGGTTCCAAACCTGACAGTTGCTTAAATCAGAATTTGGGGGCTGGGGAGTTAGGGCATCATTTTGGCTACGTGGGGGCTTTTTCCTCACCTTCCTCAGCTGATCACGCTCTTATCCCACTGTGACAAGTCAGATACACAGGCTGAGATTTTTACACCCAGCTGTCATTGGGTTCAAATTAAGAAGCTGTGTACGCCCCAGGGGAGCACTCAACTAGTCAGCAGTTTGGAGCACAAGAGCTTTTTTAGGGGTGGCAGTGGGGCAGCATGTGCTATGAATTAGTTGTTTCCTGATAGGTCTGTTTGTTTTCCTCAGCAGATTTTCACTATTAGATATCTGTTTAATTTTCAAACTGGAAGCTGAGGGTAGGTACCACGGAGAATAGGGGACTTTAGAAATGCAGATAGATTAGTTAATAATCATCTGGAATAGCCTTACTACAATGTGGGTCTCACTCAAGTTTGAAGCTGCTCTGTTAACATTTCATTAGAACTTTCCCTCTCAGGGGTATGTCCTTTAATACATAATTTTCTTTTCCAAGGGTGTCCCTAGGATGTTGGCAGAAAGGAAGCTGGGTATGAATATTTCATAAACAAGATAAAAGTGACAGCTCAGGCATTTTGGTTGCTATTAAAAAGAAAAAGATACGGAGTTGCAAACAAAGAGTCCTGCTTTATGGTTAATTTTGTTATACTGTTTGTCTCAGGAAGTAAAGGTTAGTAAATCAGGATTATGAAACGTCCTTTAGAAATAAATACTATGTTGATCTGCTTCCAATAGTGTAATGTTTCTAAAAAGTGTAAAGTAAACACAAAGCATGACAGTGGTAACTTCTGCATCCATCTTAGTGCCTTGTTCTCTCCAGGACTTCTATCATCATTCTCTATTGTTGAGGTCACAGTAAGTCCAAAGAGGACCTTGAGAGGTTTAGTTCCTCCTGTTTCCCAAATGTGCAGCTAGTTTTCTCTTATGCCAGATGTTTCTTTAACTTCTTCTCAAAAACCTTCACTGATGGAGATGTCCCAGGCTGTGCCTGGGCGAACAATGGCACTGTTTCACTAATTTTAGTGTTAGAAAGATATTCCTGAAATCTAGGCTGTCTTCCTAGTTACAGTTCTACACATTATGTTTAGCCTACACAGACACACAAAACAGTTCCTCATCCTTTTTGCAGAAATCTTTTGCATGTTGGAAGATGATCATGTTTCCTACATATTGGATGCACTACCCAACCATGATCCTGTGTGCCCTTGTCCTCTTGTGATTCTTGATTTTCTCTGTTTAGACCCTCCCCAGTTACTCTACTCACAGAATCACAGAGTCCCAGAATGCTATGGGGTTGGAAGGGACCTCTGGAGATCATCCAGTCCAACCCCCTGCCAGAGCAGGTCCACCCAGAGCAGGTCCCACAGGAACGTCTCCAGGTGGGGTCTGAATGTCTCCATAGAAGGAGACTCCACCACCTCTCTGGGCAGCCTCTTCCAGGGCTCTGCCACCCTCACAGCAAAGAAGTTCCTCCTCATGTTCAGATGGAGCTTCTTATGTCCAAGTTTGTGCCCATTTCCTCTTGTCCTGTCCCTGGGCACCACTGAAAACAGACTGGCTCCATCCTCCTGACACCCACCCTTGAAGTATTTATAGGCGTGGATCAGTTCCCCCCTCAGTTTTCTCTTCTCCAGACTCAAAAGCCCCAAGTCCCTCAGCCTTTCCTCATCAGAGAGATGCTCCAGGCCCCTCATCATCTCTGTAGCCTCTGCTGTCCCCTCTCCAGCAGTTCCCTGTCCCTCTGGACTTGGGGAGCCCAGAACTGGTCCCAGTGCTCCAGATGGGGCCTCCCCAGGGCAGAGCAGAGGGGCAGGATGCCCCCTCTCCACCTGCTGCTCACACTCTTCCTGATGCCCCCCAGGATGCCATTGGCCTTCTTGGCCATGAGGGCCCATTGCTGGCTCATGGGCATCCTATTATCCAGTGTCATTGCATCTGCCATATAGAGCTTTGTAGCTTGTAATGAAGCCCAACGCAGTGCGTGGCACAAGGAAGGGATGAGCTGGGCAGTTTGGAATAAGAGGTGACTGGTGGTATTTGGTGACAGCCCCTCACTTTGCACATGGGCTGCCCAATTTCAGCATTTGCAGCTCATGGTTTACAGCAGGAACACCTCGTTCCGCAGCGTGGAAGCCTTCACTCACAGCCTGTCAGGGAACAAATAAGGGTTACATAGATTTAGAGAAATACAAGAAAGAAGCCTAAAGTCTGGCCATGTTTGTGTCCATCCAAATACTTGATTGAATTGGCCGGTCATCAGAATCTGCAAACAATAGTTCCTTTTATCCCAGAGCCACAACACAACGGCCACGGGGATGCCGTGGAAATTCCAAGCAATCCTTTAGCTGAATAATAAACAACTGACTCTACACGCAGCCAGGCAGGGCTTATTGGTATCAACAAGACCTTGAGTTAGGTCTGCTGGTAAAGCTGCAGATGGTTGACAGCTTTTCAGGCACACAGGCTTTTGTACAGATCTCATCGACCTACCTCAAGTCTTCCAGGATGTCCCCTAGGTACTACCTGTATTCTCCAAAGCATTTTTTGGTCTCCCTGGGCCAATAATTTTTAATTTTCTTGTATGCACTTCCAGACTGGATCACAGTAGATAGGTTCCCACCTGGTTGGTGGGTTGCCTCCATCCCTCTGTCCCTTCTCCATGTGTGTTTGTCCCTAAATGAATGGATGCTGCTCGCTGTATTTGAAGACCCAGATGATTGCTCTCTCCAAAGTGGAAAGCACCTTTCTCTCAAGTCGTACTTAGAATCAGAGAATCATCCAGGTTGGAAGAGACCCTTGGGATCATCCCGTCCAACCATCACTTAAAGTACTTTATTTAAAGAATTATCAGAAGTTCCTTTCTGGAGCATTTCTTATTTTGTTTGTTTGTTCCTATCGTTTGCTACTGCCTTATAACCTAAAAATTTTTGGTACATCATTGTGACTTGCCTGGTTCAGATACGTCGGGGCAGCTAATGTACAGCCTCTCAAATGAGTTTCCAGGTATGGAAAGGGCAGGAAAAGAAACGCACAAGAAAGTATTGAACAATTAATTACGCCGTAATGGAGCGAGGGAGGGAGAAGGGGAGAGCTGGCCCAGTGTAAACTCCCTGCCTCTGATGCCAGGATTACACTCGGAGGCATTTGTGCCTCTCTCCATTTTGTGAGGCACGTTGCCAGGCAGAGCAGCAGTTAGCACGCCCATGGTGGGGTTTACTAGCTTCCACACCGTGTTTGGTGGCTTCTTAACTTCAGGATGAGGAATTAAAGTTTTTTACACAGCAGGTAGTGATTGCCGTTTACGGATTTTTTTTCGGAGCAAAAATCTAGCTTGGGATATGAGTATTCCAAATCGGGGCTGAAACGAGGGAGGCACCACAGATGAAGTGTTGCTTACCAAAATATAACAGTAGCAGTAAAATGTCCATGTACCAAAGCTGATACCGTTCCTGCTAATGCAGATAAAAGCTAGCTTTGACTGCGTGGTGAGTTTGAGGGTTCCTTGTCTTCTTTCTTTTTTTTTTTGTACACTATTTTGCAGGTGACCTCTGGTGGGGTTATGTGTATTGTGGCCATGAGCTGTTCTCACCTCCTATTGACTTGAACGGACTCATGTCCGTAATAGATAATGTATTTCCCTTCCCTGAGTGAGTAGGCACAGATTTTTCTTGAGTATTTCAGTGTCAAAATGCAACACTGACATGTTGCAGGGGAAGCAAGAAACCACCCCGTCTTACTGAGTCAGTTAAGATTGTCTATGAATCCATCTGAGCTTTTCCACCGTGGTTACCCATTTGTAAAATGCCAGGAGGACCTTTCTCCAAACTGGTGAAATGTGATTTGTGTTCCATGGGAGTGTTCTTTGTCTTCCAGGGGACAATATCTATTTAAAAATAAACCTCCTGATGGGACTGCGCCACCCAACTCTTTCTACAGAGCACTTTATCCCAAAATTATACAGGACATAGAGGTAAGAAACAGCTTCCAGATGTGATGGTCTTTGGTGATTTGGGTTTTTTTAATGTCCCCAATTTACTCTTGATGCTGAAATTCTGAGAATACTAAATCTGATGTGTCTGTGTTTGTCCAGAGTTTGTAGATGTGGGATAGTTACACAAAGCCCCAGGCTTCACTGCTTCTTTAGACAGAGGATGGGTTGGATTGTTGAGTGAGCTGTTTGCAGATGGAGTCTCTACACGTTGCACCTCAGATGTCACAGCAGCACCGTGCCATCTCCATTTTCTCTATTCCACAGTACTTTGCTCCACCCAGCGCAGATGAGACCTATTAAGATGTTCCAGGGAGGTATCAGGAGCTGAGCCAGGGAGAAAGTGCATTCTAAAGACTGCAATCCTAAGACCCAGGGACACAAGAAGAAACTGAGCAGGGCTGCCTTGTTTCTAGTACAAGCAAAATGTCACGTTGTGGTAGTTTCCTAGTGGCAAAAGCCATAAGTGTTTGTACAACCACGTAGCTGGAGCTCAGCTGAGACTTCCTCTGCAGTTGTTTAGATGTTGAGTCAGAGGGGCTTAAAAGTTGGAGAGAGAAAAATGCTTTTAAGTCACTTCTCCCTCACCATTTCGGATAACACAAACGAGTTTAGCCATGATATGTTTTCCAGTTTTTTGTCCATTTAATTGATTTTATTACATGCAGTACTTCTTCTAGAAAGCTGGTATGTCATTGTCTGCTCCTGATCGCAGGAAAAAGTGTGAAGAAAAGTATCTGCTGTCTTCTTAAACAAGCAAAAAGGGGGAAGATAATTCCGTGCTTTATTTTTACTTCTCTTTTGTCTCCTGTCTCTCCTCAAGACAATAGAGTCAAACTGGCGGTGTGGAAGGCACAGTTTACAGAGGATCCACTGCCGAAGCGAGACAAGCAAAGGAGTTTATTGTTTACAGTATGATGATCAGAAGATAGTAAGTGGCCTACGAGACAATACTATTAAGGTGAGAATGCTCCAAAATGGCATATTAATGGCATGCAGGGTCTCTGCCATAAATAATAGTGTCCTAATTTCAGTGATGCCTGCTCAATCTCTTGTTCAGTAACCTAGCCTTCTCCTTCCCCCACCTCACGCCTGCACAGCGTGGACGCCGCTTTTATCTGGCAAGAGAGACCCTGTTTTCTTACAGACTTCACAAGCAGAGGTTTTTGCCCATCAGTAATTACAAGCTGTGTAATTACTGTGCCCTGTACCCTGATGAGAAGAGTAAAACCAATGTTCATAGTAAAGGCAGTAATATCAAAGATGTTAACGAATTGCACCAAAGAGCCTGTAGAAGACTACAGATGCCACTAAAGGTGTTCTAACTGCACTAAGGATGATGTATTGTAGTAAAAAACAGACCAGTCAAACCAGTAAGTGCTGAAAGATGAAAACCTTACTAAGCTGTCTGGTTTTGAATGTTTGCTATCCTAGATCTGGGATAAGAATACGTTGGAATGCAAGCGAATCCTCACTGGACACACGGGTTCTGTCCTGTGCCTCCAGTACGATGAACGGGTGATCATTACTGGATCTTCGGACTCAACGGTCAGGTGTGTGCTTGTGATTTGGAGCTTTCTGTTTGCCTCTAAGATTTTAGCTTTGCAGGCTGCTGAGATTATCTTTTCTTAATTGTATGCTGTTTGATCGATTCCGTGAAGTAGTTCAGCGTATTTGTTCAGGAGTACCCTCTCCTTGTTCATCAGATGTCCATCCAAATGACTGTCAAGGAGAAATGAGAACCTAAGCAAAGGCCAGTCAAGGTCGAGATGACTTAGGAAGGCCATCTGGCATTCCACCAAGGTTCTGCATGTTTTGATACTCCCTGATCATGTTTTAAATTCTCTCTGAGAATAACTTTTTTTTAAGTCGGTTGAAGTTTCCAAAGCAAGTTTGAAGGTTTAGTCAGCCACTTACTTTTAACAAAAGATGTATGACTAGATCTCCTGCGACTTTTAATTAAATCTCAGCATGATGTTTCTTTTCATTCAGTCTTTCTAACCTCGCTTTCCTTCCAGTCTCCAGCAAAAGGCTGGACACCTCAAGTCAGCACTTGTGGTGCATGTTGTGCAGGTGTGAAGTCCCCTAGACATGTTACAGGACCTGCAGTGTAAATCCAGGCACATACGAGTTAGTGAATTGCAGTATGAACTTGGATGGGAAGGAGCAAGTCTGTCTTCTCCATGTTGTTGTGTATTCTCCTCGTGTCAGAGTACAAACAATGCCCATGCAGGGAAGTTACAGGCAACAAAAAGCCGTGTCAGTGCCCTTTTCTGAAGCTATTAGCGTGTGTTCCTGTGGCTGCAAGCTCCTCATGGTTAGCACCGTGCTCGTGTGTGAACACCACTGTTAAGCTAATCACCATTACATTTCCTTCCTGCCACGTGATGCATGCAGTCTGCTATTAGATTTCGGGGTCCTATCACGAGTAGGAATCCAGAATTTCGGCAACACCACCTGCCTGGAGACTGTGTGGGGACTGCACTGCGCTAAACGGGTGGCAAAAGGGAGGCTGGTTCCTGTAACAAGCACCATCATCTTCCATGGCAGGCCAGGCAGGCCAAATTGCAGACTGGCTACTTGCCCAGAAGTACTTTGTTTCCCACTGCATCTCTAAATGCTCGTGCAGACCCCAGGGGCACATAGGATGCATCACTTTTATCCTCGGGTCTCCTCAGGAAGAGGGGCTTCATCCAATAGACAGTACAGATGGGCTCTTAATGCTTCTGAGATCTCGGGGATGCACTTGTCCAAAGAAGTCAGTAGGTCTCCAGCTCCTGCTCGGTTTGGCAGCCCTGTCTGCAAACTGCTCCTGCCTTAATGGCTCAGGTCTTTAAGGCTGTGAGTTTTTCTCCTTCACGTTTTGTTATTGGAGTGTAGTTTCCTTTTTCATTTATAGTCCGAAAGTTGCTGCACTTCAGCCTCCGTAAGTCAGAAAATAAGACATTAGAAGTCTTTCTCACATCACGCCTTTTCTTAACAGCTCGCCTTATTGGCGAGGTTTTAAGGTCTGCAGTGGTTGATGTGCCTGGTGATGCAGCTGTTTGCTGCTGTCACCTACTGTATCTGGGATACAGGTGAGATAGTGCCAAAAGAAATCTCCTTCTGGAGGGTAAAAGAAGTTTGCCAACAGAATAGCCCAAAAGAAACATTTTTAAGCCTTAAAATCTTCATTTCCAGCCCTGGAAGTTCTGTATGAAGCCTTTGTGTAACTTTCATCTTAAATTATCTTTCAGCTGAACCAGTTGGCTCCACTAACATTAAACTGACATAAATGCTGTGTCTTAATGTGGGTGTTCAGCACGTTCCTGGAATGTACCTGCGCACCCGATGCACTGCAGGGAAGTGCAGTCCATGGTGCCACTTCTGGCAACTACTTACATTTCTTTGCAAAGCCTTCTCTCGTCTTCTGCTTCTGCTTGGAGTTGACAATCCTGTGAGAGAGGTCAAAATTGAAACCTTTCTCTGCACTTGCTCCTCCACAGGTCATGGTTAAGCACTCCTTGACTGGTGATGGAGTGTGCGGGAGGCTGACACAACCAGGAAACATCAGTCGTTAAGGCTATCAATCTCATACCTTTCCTTAGCTCTATATTCCCTTAATTAAAGAACACATTTTTCCTGCCTGGGTTATTTTTGTGGTGTTGAACTGCATTGCAGGCTTTTTGGCTGCTGGACTGCCTCAGCGTATGCAATATAATCAACAGGTTTATATAATACATCTGGTGATGAACTATTTAATAGCCGTAGATATAACTCCTGGTGTCTGCTTCTCTAATATTGCTAGAGAATCCATTACCTCTCCCTGTCCCTCTCTCACTTTGCAGAAAATCCACCGTATAGTTTTTTTAACTCTCCTTTCTCTGCTTTTAAATTTGAACCTGTAGGGTGTGGGATGTGAACGCGGGCGAGATGCTGAACACGCTGATCCACCACTGCGAAGCGGTGCTGCACCTCCGCTTCAACAACGGCATGATGGTGACGTGCTCCAAAGACCGTTCCATCGCCGTCTGGGACATGGCTTCACCAACAGACATCACCCTGAGGAGGGTGCTAGTAGGGCACCGGGCTGCCGTCAACGTAGTGGACTTTGATGACAAGTACATTGTGTCAGCGTCAGGTGACAGAACTATCAAGGTGAGGTGTTTTCATTTGCGGCGCCGGGGTATTTATTAACCAAAGAGCAGTGACCAGATGGGAAAGATGCTTCTTTTCAGTTATCACACAGATCTTCATTTAGAACTTTAGAATCACAGAATCAATTGTCTGGGTTGGAAGGGACCTTTCAGATCATCCAGTCCAACCATCACCCTAACTCTGATAAAAACCATCACTAACCCATGGCTCTAAGCACTATGGCAACCCGGCTTTGAAATCCCTCCAGGGATGGGGCCTCAACCCCTGCCCTGGGCAGCCCATTCCAATGTGCAATAACCCTTTCCATGGAAAAATTGTTCCCAATCTCCAATCTGAACCTCCCCTGGTGCAACTTGAGGCCGTTTCCTCTTGTCCCATGGCCTGTGAGTTGGGAGCAGAGACCGACCCCCCCTGGCTACACCCTCCTTTCAGGGAGTTGGAGAGAGCCAGAAGGTCTCCCCTCAGCCTCCTTCTCTCCAGGTTGAACCCCCCCAGCTCCCTCAGCCTCTCCTCATCAGACTTCTTCTCCAGACCCCTCCCCAGCTCCGTTGCCCTTCTCTGGACCCGCTCCAGCCCCTCAATGTCTTTTTTGTGGTGAGGGGCCCAAAACTGGCCCCAGCCCTTGAGGTGGGGCCTCCCCAGTGCCCAGGACAGGGGGACCATCACCTCCCAATTCCTCCTCCCCACGCTGGTCCTGACACAGGCCAGGATGCTGGTGTCCTTCTTGGCCACCTGGGCACACTGCTGGCTCCTGTTCAGCCGACAGGCGACCAACACCCCCAGGTCCTTTTCTGCCAGGCAGCTCCAGCCACTCTGCCCCCAGCCTGGAGCGCTGCAGGGGTTGGTATGAACCAAGGGCTGGACCTGACACTTGGCCTCGTTCAACCTCTTCCCATTGGCTTTGACCCATCCATCCAGGCTGTGTTTCCTGCTGCTCATTTCCACTTGTTCTGCCTCTGTTGAGCTTGGACAACTTGTTTACAGAGCTCTATGGCAAATCAGGTACAGAGGCAGTTGAAAAAGGACTTTTTTTTTATTGTGTTCTTTTTCAACTTCACCACTTCCATAATCTGTTTCAGCATCAGTCATTCAGTTGTCAGAGGGCAACATGGGGGCAAAAGTGAAGGTGAGTGGACAGGAGTCGCTTAAGGAGTTACTGCTGTGATCCCAATCTGCAGCAATAAAACTGGGGAAAATTGAGATCCTGTGTATCATAGCCCAAGAGTGCTAAAGCCTGATTTTGGAAGCTAATGCTCATACGGTGTGGCAAAAATCTGTGTACAGTCACCCAGGCTACTAACAGTCGCAGACTATAGTCACAAGTCGTCAGAGGGGTAATTTTCCCAGTCTTAATGACAGCACCTTCAATTAAGAGCGTTCTGGATGCACCTATATATGGTACAGATACCAGCTTTTGTCAGTCTCTTCTTAATAATTTTGTGTCTGTGTGGTTCCCTCCCCGCTTCCTGTCACAGGTATGGAACACTAGTACCTGCGAATTTGTGCGCACCTTAAATGGCCACAAACGAGGCATTGCCTGTCTGCAGTACAGAGACAGGCTAGTAGTGAGCGGCTCGTCAGATAATACCATCAGGTGAGACACACACTCCCCCCTGCAGAGTTCTGTGCCAGCACCTTGTCCCCGGGCTGTGCCGAGGTGAGGTGACTGCCGTGCTCCCTACCCTTGTCACCTTTGAAATATGCTTCCTTTGGTGGAGAACATGGGGAACTACTGGAAAGAGATATTAGAAGCCTGTTTTACTGTCTTGTCTTTCATCCTCTGTCTCTCAAGAGTCCCATACTCATCAACAAGTTGCATTGCTGTGACAATTCTGCTGTATGAAAGAGCTGGCAAGTGCCACTTTTCTGCGATGTCCTCTTGTGATATTTTAATTGGGCTGTGTGTCTAGTTAAAGGGGTCAGATTTGCAGCAAGAGGCGTTTAATCCTCCGCAGAAATCCTCCTGGGCTCTCGCCAAGCTCTTCTCGTGGTACTTGGCACCTGGCTAAGTTGGGAACAGCTGGTTTAGAGCATGAAGTTGGGTTTGCTGCCTTTTGCCCTTCTCCAGCTGCCCCGGTTGCAATCTGAGATTTAACTCCTTCTGGTATCGGGAGCCAGGGTTTCTCCCTGCCTCCTGCTGCTGCTGGAGAGCCATGTCCTGCTGATCTCAGGTGCATGGAGTGGGCTTGAATAGTCATGTACATGACATAGAGAAATGGCTCTGTCCTGCAAGCAGGAGCAAGAGTAATCTCCCTTTTGTCTTTGTCATTGCTTTAAATCATTATCTGTCTTCTGATAAAACCTGAAAGCTGGACAGTGTAAGCAGAAACCCTTCACTTTGCACATCAGTAATAATTTCTCCGCAGTGAGAGCGATTCGTCCTAGTGTTTCCCTTTGCTGGCAACAGGCTGCCTCTCCCTGCTTTATTTGGTAGGAAAATGGTGTTCCTTTGGTTGATGTCACCAAGTCATTGTGGCAGATGTTACTACAGGGCTGTCTGAGAGCGTGACCAGGAGAGCTGGAACCTCTGTCTCTTCATCAGGGCAAAAAGTATTACAGACATTGTGTAAAAGTAGCACCACTTTCACATGGGGAGAACTCCTGCACTTCCAATAGAAAATAAATAACCCTCTGCAATTGTACTATGAAACTTGGTCTCAGAATTTGAGTCAGAAATGGTTAAATATTACAGCAGTTAGGGGAGGATCTAAAGTATGGCTTGTGATGCTAATAAAAATAAATGTCAAGATAGTGATAACGCTAAAGAGGAATGTGGTTACTTTTGTGCTTGCATTGGACAAAATCCCTAGCTGACAGATAAATTGTGCTAGAATTTCAGGAATCCTGGCAGTGAATCTTGATGGAAGGGAAGTTTGGCAGCTGTGTGGGCGCAACACAGGACTTACCTGGTGACATTGTTTTCTCCCAGCCATTCGCAGAGGGCATGAGTCAGTGGAAGGGTGATTAAGAAAGGGCAGGTTACTAAGTCATCTCTGTGGGTGGCTTGGTGCTTTGTGTGTTTGATTTTAATCCACTGTAAAATGTCAGATGTTTTGGGTTGGCCTTCAGGAGGGGCTGCCTCTTGATACAGAATTTGGAGCTCATCATTCCTCAGTTGCCGAGAAACTTTTTTCCAAAAGATGATTTTGATTTCTAGTTTTGCAGCTGCAAACATAAGGACACGTGAAGTAGCTGAGAAATCAGTATCTTTCTTCTGTAGGGAGACTCCATGTATAAGAATGATTTCAGTTTTGTTTTAGGCCTGAAATGTCACCAGTGTAAGTGGACACAACTACGTAGGCATTGTTGTCATTGATTTCCATCTGGTAGAAACTGGTCCATCAAGTTTAATCCAATCACTTCAGTGTCTTAGCTTCTGGAGCTGAAGTCATAATTGCTACAGAGAAGCAGAGTATAGAAAATAGATGAGGGGGAGAGAATTTGGACCAAGAAAATAGAATCAGACTACATCATCTTGGGTTAAGTTTTAACCAAGTGGTTGATTTGCATGTGCGTATTCAACCTCCAGTGTTTGGAAACATGGAGATCTGATACTGGACTGTTTAGACAACATCCTCCCTAGGAGAAGCAGGTTCAGGCTCACCTGCTTTCTGTACATCTTCCAGCTCTGTGAGGACTTCGAGTGAATCAAAGGCTGAGATAATTGCAGACCTCCCTCTACTTCCAGAAGTTCTCCCGAAGCTATGGGAAGGAAGAGCGGTAGTGGTTTTGACTGCTGACACTTTGTAGGGAATTTTTTTAGATAGTTCTCAAGCCTTCAGAGTAGTTCTGTTACTATTTGGTCCTTCAACTATTTAAAGAAGTAGAAATTTGAGTAGGTGGTCAAATCTGGGAGGTTCCCTTGGCACCAATTTGGCGAGGAGATTCTGCTCTTACATAGCAGTTATCCCTTCTGTATGTGCAAGCCCATTCCCCACGTGGCTAAGGACATGATCATCTCTTCTGATCCCATTCAGATTCAGGTAAAAACCTCAAACTGGGACCTGAAAATACAGACCTGAGTTAGTGTGATGCAGCCTCCCAGAGCTGCTGGCAATCTCAGGATTGATGGCAAGGAATGGAAACACACGGCGCGAAAGTTCCTGGCACGAGATCGCCCTTCAAACCTTTCTGCACCAGTTCATTTCTGGCATTGGCCATCCTGTCTGCAGTCCTTGAGAGACTTGATGCTCTCTGACCAGCCAGAGTGCCTTTGGCTCACCTTTGCCATGGAGTTGCTTTCTCTGACCTTGACTGGTGTGCTGGTACCCCCGTGAAAGCTATTGGCATCTTCACACATTCCTGAAAGAGCAGCCTCACGGATGGAAGAATCACCTTGTGCTTCTTCTTGGCCTCAACCGTGTGTGTAGATGAATCCTTTCCCAGTTCTCCAGTGGTGAAAGAGTTCTGTTCATTCCTCTGTTGTCCAAAGTGAGAGCAGTTTGTCATGGTAGGACAGCTGCAGTCATTACCCACCAACCTTGGGCACGCATCCACCGGGTCTGGATTCTTCCCTGGCGGACCTCAGGAGTAAAATATGTGGGGACAATTTATCTCTTTCTTTGGCCATCTCTCAAGGAAAAGTGAGCTGACCCCTCGGCAGCTGTGCTGCTCTGAGATGTGTCACCCGGAGAAATTCCACAAACCACCCATATTTCTCACTACTGGGAGATTCATGTCAGTCTGAGTGCTAATTGAATGAGAAGAAGCTAATTGAATTGAATGAAGAACATTTGCAACTGTTTACTTTCAGCTGTGTGTCAGGGAGCCACAGCAGATCCTGCTGTTAAAAGATTCCTGTATGAGCAGAGTCTGTCTTAGCCAGAGGTGGAACATGTCAAAGAATTTCAGTTCTTGTAGGCAAATAATCTTTCTTTATCCATGATAATTGGGAGTCATGTCAAAGAGCTGACAAAAATATGGAAAGCAAATAGAGTTACTTTATAACTGTTTCAAGTGTTCCTTGACTATTTTTCAAGGGTAGTGTAAAAAATAATGTATTTTAATTTACTCTCCATGCTAAAAATCTTTCACAAAGCCCAAAACTGAGGGATATTTACAGTTGAGAGAATAAGATGTTGCTGGGTCTCCTACCGGGATAGGGTGTACTGATTCTGGAGCCAGAACATTTTTTTAAAATATTGAATTATTAGAAACAGGTAGCAGAGAGCCACAGGAATTATTTGAGAGCAAGAAAGAAACACATTGCAGAATAATAAGCATAGAGCACCCTTTTTAGCTTATGAATAAGGTGCCTAGATCACAGCGTAAACATACCTTCAGTGGGAGAAGTGTCAAATAAAAAGGACTTGTTAATTCTTGTAGCTTGTATTGATGTCTTAATTTGCCTGATGGTTGTCTCCAAATCAGAAATAGGGATGTAGTGGTACAGAAATGCCGCGTGCCCTGTGAAGGTGATTTTAGCCTTTGGAACACGGGGATTGGTATGTGTCCCCCATCTCCACATCTTAAAATCAAGGCGGGATACTTTTATGAAAAATCAACTTTAATAAAATAAAGTTCTGGGACTGACTGTGAAGATAACTGGGAGGTCTCCTGTGTTACTAGGGCAGTAGAGACTAGACACAACCAGTCTCAAAATGTTTGGATCTCTGACTGATTTCCCATGTGATACCATAGCACAACAGGGGCGTGTTGAAGAGCATCCATCCACTTCACAGCAGAAGAACAAGAGTGGTGAATGTAGTTTGTTTCTTACTATTTCATCCTAATCTTTATTCCTGAGTTTCTGTTAACCACAAGCAAAGACCAAATGTTTCGTTGCAACAATCGGATACCGAAAAATTCTTACTGCTGCTTTGTACTCTCTTCCAGGCTGTGGGATATCGAGTGTGGGGCGTGTTTACGAGTCCTGGAAGGCCACGAAGAGTTGGTGCGATGCATCCGCTTTGATAACAAGAGGATAGTCAGTGGAGCATACGATGGGTGAGGCTGTCGGTGCAGTCAATACTTGTATCTTCCTGTCTGTCTCACTCTCTTACATCCCACCTTCCTGTATCTTCCTTATAAATATTAGACTCCTTGTCTGTCATACCAAGAGGACCTTTTCATGGCCAGTAGATCCAGGACCATGCTACAAAGTATACCTTTTTCTCTTTTTTAAAAAATAAGGCAGTGTGATTTGGTGTGTGGTGGTTCAGTTCTTTAGCTTGTAAGAATATCTGACTGACTCAACCCAAAACCTCTTCTACCTGAACCACTAATAAGAACAATCTTTCTCATCTGTGGTTATGTCATCTTGACCATTAGCTGTTACAGACCGGGTGTCTGCATTCCCACATGTCTCTGGTAGTTATTACCACTTGCTTTTTATATGTTTTACTTCATTGACAGCATATTTTTTCCTCCCATTAAGGTCTATAAGGTTTACAAAGGGGAAATGCAAGAACCAGGTCTCAAACGAAGGGTTGCTCTAATTTTCCTTGAGCTGGTGTATTAGCTAAGCCATACTAACACTTAATTTTTTTCTGTAAGCACTTGCTCTTTTCTCATTAAGAAAGCCGTGGTGTTTGTCTATTTTTTCACTACTAGGAAAATTAAAGTATGGGATCTTGTGGCTGCTTTGGACCCTCGTGCTCCAGCAGGGACCCTCTGCTTGCGAACCCTTGTGGTAAGAGCTTTTGGTAGGGGTGGTGGAGAGGACAGAAAAACATGCTTGATCTTAGAACCATAGAATTGTCTAGGTTGGAAGGAAGATGATCTTTTAAGAGCATCTAGTCAAACCATCAACCTAACTGATAAAAACCATCACTAACCCATGGCTCTAAGCACTATGGCAACCCAGCTTTGAAATCCCTCCAGGGATGGGGCCTCAACCCCTTCCCTGGGCAGCCCATTCCAAGGCTTAAGAACCCTTTCAGTGGAAAAATTATTCCTGATCTCCAATCTGAACCTCCCCTGGCCCAACTTGAGGCCATAAGGGTACCTTGAGGGCTGTCTTGAGCCGTGAAAACTCAAGTCAGCTTAGCCCCAGTCTGCAGGGTCTAGAAATCATGTCTAGAGGTCCGGTTTCTTTGGATGTCCAACTTTTTCCTTCATGTTGCAAGCTCTAAAGCATTAGAAGTCAGAACCTGTGGAGTTTTCACTCACTTAACAGTTTTGCTCTGCGATTTGAAGTTAATAACTACACCCATTTTTGAGACTTGTTCTTGGAATCCATGTGCCAGTGGGTTTACTTTAACCTGCGTGTCCGTGATGTCGTAGTAAAGTTGTCTGAATTGCTGTCATGAAATTTCTTAAAGAAAAGTAGTACATTCCAAATTTGAGGAGCAAGAACAAAAGTACTCTCAGGATTGCTTTTAACTGGCATTTGGGTGTTTAAGGAAAAAGCACGTAAAGACTGGAACAGACAGTGAAATTGCCTCATCCTTAAACAGCAATTAACTACTTTCATGCTGCCCATTGGTATTTAGTGCAGGTCTGATGATGTTGTGGTTAAAATGTCATTGTGTGAGCGTTAACACCTTTCGCAGTCATGCTTAATAGTGGCTCTGCACTGGTCTTGTAATAATGTCAGAAAGTTGTGAGAGAAGTGGCAGCACAGCCAAGTCCACGGGGTGGTTCCTGGAAGCATTCCTCCATCACATTCACCCCCAAAAAAACTTGCTCTGGTGCTGCTCTGATGGCGCTTGCCCTGAGGATGAAGGAAGATTTCAATCTAGTACCAAATTCTCCTTGAAAGAGAACTGCTGAATGTTTTTATTTTTTGAGATGAGCAATGTTTGGGCAGTGTTGGAGTTGGTACACGTTAGACCTTCTCCTGCTGCGGCGTGTGCCTGTAGTCTGTGCTCCAAACCAAGCTGCTCCTGGGGCTGTCTGATGCTCTAAAAGCCTGGTCACCTCTCACCAGCTGACCTTCTCATGCTCATCGACCACCTGAATCGCTGCTGTTCCTGTAGATTGCTCTCAAGTATTTTACTTCACATTTGGTGCAGGCTGTGAGGGTTACAGGCAGTAGATCATTAAAGCCACGCTAACTCTTTTCCAATCATGTATTTGGACCGTAAGCCGCAGAGTAAGAGTCTGTGAGAGCCTTGGATGCCTGCAGGTACTACGTTGAAAAACCTTCTTGTTAGCCAAATAGAACTGCAAATAGTTTTCATGGCTGAAATCCAGAAAAAGCCCTTGTCATCAGCCACCCAGTTGCAAACTATGGCACAGCTCTGTGCCCACGAGCACGTATCCGGAGAGTCTAAGGCTTCAGCTTGATATTAGCAGCATTCCTGCTCCAACCTGAGACAAATGTGTGCCTGGTAACCTGTAGACTTAATTTAACTGGTGTGATTTCCTCTGCATTTTCCAGCAGTGGACAGCCAAAGTGCCCCAGCTAATTATATTATAAATCAGAAGCGGTGGGATGGAAACACTGTAAGAATCTCAACACATGGATACTCATAAATCCCTGTTTGATAGCGATGGAGGGGGCCAGGAGAGGGGGGGGCAGAGGAGGCTGTCGTGGTGCTTTTAGGACTTTTCATGTTTATGACAACAGGGCGTCCTTATATACCCGCTTACGCCTGGTTTGGTGGGGTTTTTTTTCTCTTCCCTCGGCCTCCAAAATTAAACCTGGCTGCACAATGAACATCGTGAGTCTCCTGCTGCTCGTGTTCAATTTTCAAACAGTAGGAGGAAAGTGCAGAGATAACAAATGCTCGCTGCACGCCAGGTCCCTTCCAGTTTTGTCTTCCGTTAGCTGGAACAGCGGCCACAGGAATCTGACAGAAGCTTTCCAGGCACAGAAGAAACACACAGTTCAGCTTTCCTTGCAAGGTTCAGGTCCTTGTGGCCTCAGCTTAGGGGGTGCAGTTTGGTTATTGCCACTGACACAGCAAAGGGCAGGTGCTGTGTGGAACTTCAAGGGCAACCTTACTCAGCCTAGAATGGTTGGGAATAAAAAGGGATTTTTGGAAACAGGCTTTGAAAGTACCTCTCTCTCTGTCTGGGCATCTCTGGGAGCAGTCCCTCAGTGAATCTGACTGCCATAGTGATATTTTTTAGCAAGAACTTCACAGAATCACAGAATGGTTTAGGTTGGAAGGGACCTCAAAGATCACCTTGTTCCGAATTCCTATGGGCAGGGACACCTCCCACCAGACCAGGTTGCTCCAAGCCCCATCCAGCCTGGCCTTGAACCCCTCCAGGGATGGGGCAGCCACAGCTTCTCTAGACAGAGGAGTTATGGATGCCCCATCCACTTACTCTTCCCTTTACTCATCTGCCCCTTCACTTACTTCGCTGCTACAACACAGAAAAAACAGTTCTCTTTGGAATAGGTGGGAAGATAGAAACCCATCAGGTGTTTTTAAGACAAGTTTGAATTATGGTTAGAAATCAGAAAGGTTCCTATTACTGGACCTTTTTAAAAAATTATCTTAAAAATAGAATCTGACTTGTGTGTGTGTGTGTATTTTCAGTTAATTCAAAAATGCAGTTTCACTTTAAATCAGCTGTTATGCTTTGCGAACCGAACTGTGATTCTGTAGTCAGTCCTGTGCTTCCCATTTAGTTACTAAAAATTCTCTTTTGTCTAAATTTTTTGAGAAACCTGTCTTTTCAGTACAAAAATATTTTTAAGCTTGTGTTTTTTTCCTGTCCCTAGGCCCCTTACAACATGTGAGCACTAAGGAGAAGTATGTATTAAATAGAAGGCATAGGGCTGGCTCTACTTGCATGGTTTCTGTTCTCTTCTGACTGAGGAGGCCACTGCTCACTCTCACAGCAGTATAAGCAGCAAAAATAAAATAGGCAACACAAAAGGGAAAGTGCAGTGGATTTGCTCTGCGATATCCAGGATCTTGCCATTACTGCCTGTTAATTACAGTCTGAACTCTGGCCAAACCGTCATGCCATTTCCACTCAGCCCAGAGCAGAATGCAAAGTGCCTATAAAGAGTGCCCTTTCTAGTTCATATTTTTAGAACTGCTTAAGAGGAATTATTACTGTGTCACTGGACTTTACAACAGGCTCCTTAGTGTCCTCCAGTATTAAGCTCGTTCCTCTTCGACACTGGCAAAGGTGCCAAGACTTGAATGCAACGTTTTCATCTCTCCCCCGAACGCTGTGATTTTGGGGGAGGAGTGTCACCGTGGAACAGGGAAGACAGGGCTCCTGTCAGCCTCACCAGACTGAACTGGGTGGTGGAGGGAGCTTGGTTTGTTCTGCACAGTGCATGTCCAGTGTTGGGATTAAGGAGCAATGGGGTAACTTTAATGTAAACTTCCTGCGAGCCGAGTACTCCGATACGGCAAACCCTTTTCACTGGAAGGGGGCTTAATTTACACTGTATGATGGTGATGCACGGTGTGCTGGGGGGTTTACTGACCACGTAACACTACAATCCGAGCCCAGTTTCATGCTGTGTCTCCCACTTTGCACTTAGGAACATTCTGGAAGAGTCTTTCGACTTCAGTTTGATGAGTTCCAGATCGTCAGCAGCTCACACGATGACACCATCCTCATCTGGGATTTTCTGAATGACCCAGCTGCCCAAGCAGAATCCACTCGTTCCCCGTCCAGAACATACACCTACATCTCAAGATAAATAACACTACACTGTACCTCACACTCGCACAGGTAAAAAAAAAATAATAAAAAGGAAGCTCAAAGGTGGCACTGGACATAGTGTAAACGTGCTGCTTGAATAATTAGCTGAGCCTATCAGTATTTCCCATCTTGGTTGTACAGTAATTACAGCCTCCTGTAAAAGGGACAGGAATAGGTTTGATTCCTTAGAATAGGGACTTTATTTTAGGATCTGGGGCATGTGACGCCTGTGAGTTCCCCTGAAGAACTCCTCCTCCTCCTCCTCTGTCCATCATCATCAATAATTAATTCAGCTATCACTGCTGTCCAGAAGGAGGAGGGTTTCTGCAGAGCGAGTAGAGCAGCTGCTGCCTAACAAGGGGATGCAGATGGCCTGACCCTGGGCAGTTGTCACCAGGCAGGAGGGCTTTGCCAAGAAGCATCAGCTTGATTCCCTCCCTCTGAAGTGGCCACCATTCTTCTCACTCCGCAGCAGCTGATTCAAGAGAACAGCGTGGCTGAGGGGAGGAGACACTGAGGCACGAGCCCAGGCAAATTAAATCAAGAGGCATCAATTTACAAAATCATTTACTGATGGGGCAGTAAATTCTCTCCTTCTCTTTGAGCAGAGCATGGGTGTTAAATTGTTCATGTGAGAGCCAGGCTGGGTTGCCCATCACCATACCCTTTTGCCATGGCCAACACGGTGTGGGGAAGACGTAGTGTTTCATAGATTTGGATCAGTTGTAGGGTGGATTTGATGTGTGTGGGTGGAGTGGGAAAGTATATTTGCCCACTTTGGTGGGTACATGCACCATTACTGTTAGTAGCTTGAGAAAAAAGGCAGAAGAGCTGACAGGCTTCTGCAGGGGGGTGTCCACAGTGACATTTTCCTCCGTGGTGGGGGACATCCTTTGTCGTGTTTGGTTGGTAAATACACAGTGATGCTCCAGAGCTGTCACATCAGCCATCTTGATTTTCTCAAGCACTCTGGTCAATCAGATGTTCTTCTAAATGACTAAAAAGTTTAGTACAAATGGGGTTTGTTTGGTTTGTTCTCTTTTTTTTGTTCCCAGGACTCATTTAAGCTGCAGTATTTAAATTATCTGCCAATGCCAGGACAAAAGAACTATCCACGTAACCAATACTTGCTGAAGAGAGAGGCTCTCAGACTTGTTTCTGGAACAAAGTTGGCATGCGATTGATCTCAGACAGGGTCTACTCAGCGCGGCTGACTGCTAAAGTGCTGCTATATCAGAAGATTACTTTTATCTTTCATGAACAGTTAACATTTTTAAACCTTCCCATCCCCTTTCCTCCCTTGTCCCCCTCTTCCTGTTCACTCCTCCTCCCTATACCCCGTTTGGTTCCCCTCCAGCCCCAGTCACAGATGTCCTATGAATATATTTAAGATGTTGCCAGAATGTGTTGCTTTGCTGTTAAGCAGAAGACTTATAGCCACAGTGCACCCTGCTGAGAGAGTCCCTTCAGGGGGGGTGGGAGGGTGGGTGGGAAGGAGGCTGTGACTCTTAAGACTCAAATGGATACCCATTGCTTGGCCTTTGGAAAAGCATTCAGCTCTGAAGAGCAACACAAACACTTCAAAGCCAGACCAGCCCGTCCCCCCCATCCCTGACTTCCCCGCGGCTTTTGGCTGTTCTGACTGCAGACCTATTTTTTTCTGGAGAGAGGACTCTTGAAATTCGACTTATGAGCCAAATCCATCTCTTTCCTCTCTCCTGCCTGCTCTGCTAACCCTTTGGAAGCTGAACGTGGTATCGTAGTCTCCCTTAACATCTGCTTGCCTGGGGAATGCTGCTCAGTGACAAGTTAAACTCTCTTCTGCCAAAGTCCCAAGCGGTGTGATGGGCTGGAGCTCTGAGATCCCGTCCAACCAACCCCACCCCGGGTGAAACCTTGGCCCAGGGTGGTATTTCAGTAGCAGTGGGAACGTCTGTGCCACCTTCCTCCTGCTGTTCTCCCTGGAGATGGTGTGTTGCTGGTGGCTTAGGAATCATTCTGTAAATTGGAGGAAGTTTGGGGCTGGGGTGAGGAGGAAACCTGGACGCGGTTCCTTTCTTCCCATTCCTTCTCCCCTCAGAGAGGCTGGTGCTGGGTGCTGGGAGAGGGGGCTGCTAAAAACCTTGTGGAGCTCACAAATCGAGCCACCCTAGGGTGGACACACTACAGAAGACACTCTGGCCATGACGATAAGATTTTGCTCCCATGAACACCCATGGGGCACAGTCCCCAGGTGATGGTGGGTGGGTGAGATGAGTATGGCCATGAGTGCAGTCAGTACAGGCAGCTCCAGGACAGTTCTGTAACATTTCTGGGGCTGGCCATCCTAGAAAGCCTTCAGAGGGAGAGCCTTTGGGGTGCTTCTCTAACCTACGTGCATGCTGCATGGCGGTGTGGGGACACAGGCTGATGAGTCCCTTTGCCCTTCGCTGAGCTGGATCTTTGCTTCCTGGCTGAGGCTTTTGCAAATTGCCCTTGTTTAGAAGATAAAACGAGCCCTGAAGATGAGGGACGTGAGAAACAATTCTGCATGTCTCCCAGCTAGATGGAGATGTCTTGGGGGGGGGAAAACAGCTGTTTTTACAGAGCTGGAAGGAATTGCAGCAGGTCTGCGTTTGGGTCAGGAAAATCTGTGTAGAGCAGTCCCTGGTCACTCCAGGTTTGGACCCAGATCTTCCACTGCAGGTCTTGAATAACCCCCGCTGCCTTGGTGGGGACTTGCTCCAGTCCTACAGGAGGAAATCGGGGCCCTTCATCTCCAGGCTGGGGGGGGTTTAAACAGGCTTTGGTGAAACCCTCCAAACTTGGAACTTGGCAGATGGGGAATTTTTTGAAGCTGTTCTCATCGAGGTCACTTTGCTGGGGAAACAGCTGCGTTGGCTTCAAATTGCTTGGGATGCGCTTCTTCCACCAACAAAATTTTGCAAGGAGCTGGGTCAAGAGTCCCCAAAGAGCAGTCAGGAGGGCTTAAATCATTTTGGGCATGGCTAAGAGAGACCAGAAGGCGATGGATTTACGGAGGAAGGGAAAGCTGGTGCTTGGGGAGTACCCAGTGAAGTTCCTGAAGCACGTGGGCTCGGCTCCCTGAGCTCATGGTGAGACTGCATCAGTTCTAAAGAGCATCTCAGAGCATGTGGTGACACTCTTGGTTTCTGTTTGAACTGTTACTGTGAAAGAATCAAGCAGGTTAACAACTCGGCTCCGTTCAAGTGACACTGACAGCGTGACCTGCCTCTGCAGAGTCGTTGAGGTTGGAGTCAGAATGCTGAGTTCACCCAGGACTGTTTTTGGCACTACTTTTGAGTCTAGGAAGGCCAGTTTGGATTTCGGGCAGCTCGACATATCAGACATATTGCATTTCAAAGCATAAAGTGACAAGGGAGCAGAGACAATCCGAGTTTACATCCCAAACTTGGCTGAGTTGAAGTTCTGAGTCTTATTCCTAATGTTACGTTAACGCTGTCCCTGTGAGTTGAGTTATTAGGAGGTCTGCAGCACGGTTGCATATCAGCAGGGCTTTATAAGACCTTGGCTGCAGATTTAACAGCTGTTTTCCTCAGTTTGATCACCCTCTGTCTTTTATATTTAGGTTATTTTAAAAAACAATGATCAACAGATCAGCCTCTGAAGGCTGCAGAACTTCTTACTATTTTAATTGCATCTTTGTGGGCAGTACCTGCAAGGATGCATTTTATTTTGCTAGTTGAGAGGATCTGGGAGAACTGGAAGACTGGCTGGCCAGACACGGAGACACCACCATTGCAGAGTGTCATAGCCCTGCTGCCCCGTGCTGCTGTGCTGTGACTCCTGTAAGCACTGGTGGGTCTTCAAGTGGTACCATGGTTGGATCTCTGCTCTGTAGAGCTGTGTAAGGTACAGTGAGTGAGCGACAGCTGAAATCCTTTTCTGGCACGTGGTAAGAACGGTGTCTCACCCTCAAGAAGGGACTTGTGTCTGGGTACTTCGTGCAGAACCACCGAAGGGTGAGGATTCCTGCCCCGCTCCCCGAGTTGTACACGTTTTCTGATAGCTGAGAAGGAAACTGAAGTTAATCTGATCTAACTTGAACTTGAAACTGCCGCAGCCTGACATTTGGTGGCGTTTATGGTGCGCCCGGGGAGGAGCCATCCGGTAAGTAGATCTCCCAATGTCAGAAGAAAGTGGCTTTTTCAAACTTCCCCCCACCTTCCCTCCCTTAGGATATGTGTGTGTGTGTGTGTGTGTGTGTGAGTGTGCAAGGGTGCATGCGAGAGAGAGGTGTCAGCATGAACTGGACGGATAATCCCTCAGCCCGCTTGGAGCAATGGCAGAGTTTATGATGAAAAAGAACTAGGACGTGCCTGCTGGAAGGAGATAAAAAAAGGGCTGGAAGTGTCTGTGGGCTTTTAAGTGTTGCACATGGCTTTGAAATGAAATGAAATACCTCTGCTGCGTAGAGACCCGCTCTTCTCCCACAAGTTGGAAGCTCACGGCAGCCTTCCCCCTTGGATGGTGGGATGGGAAGTACTGGAGGTGTGGGACACTGAGAGCAGGACAATCTGTTATGGCCACACCATCTCCTGCTTGGGACTCCTTCGCAATAGGGCACGGTTTTGCTGCAAATATTTCTCCTGCTCGGAGGAATACGGCTTTGCTTTAAAATATGCAAATTAGAAGCATGAAGGAATTTGCAGCGAGAAAACTTCTGCGGGGCTGTCTCCTCTGGAGCAGGTCCCTCTGCTCCCCGTTGACGTTCAGGTGCCGCTGTTGGAACGGAAGGATTCAGGTGACGAGTCGAGAAGTCGTACGGTCATCACAGACATTGAAATGCTTTACACTTCTTTCTAAACTGGAAGCTGACTTGGACCACCCTGCTCTACCTACCCGCCACCTGCTCCTGCTCCAAAGGATCCTTTTTTTGTTTTCTTAATTTTTTTTTGAACTGAAAAAGCTGGAGAGTATCATGTGCGTTTTCTCCACTCCAGGTATGTGTTTCCTGCCCCTGCCACAGGTTCCTGTCTCAGTCTGAGCAGAGCTCCAGGCTTGATTCTGAGGTTTTTTGGCATCCTGGCTCCAATGGGAAGGGCATCTCCAGGTTGGGCTCTTTGCCTGACTTTGTTACCTTCCTTGAACACTATTTCAGATCTGCCTTTATGGCTGATGATTCCTAAATTGGATTTGGGGGGGGTGGAATATTTGTGTTTGATAAATCCCAAGTGCAGCAGCTCTTCCTAGCTAGAGAAGCAGATGAGAAGGAGCAGCCAGCCTTCCTAACGCAGGCTCGCTCTTAATTGTGGGAGGAGAAGGAGGAGACAACCCAAGTGGTTGAAAGTTAGGAGAGGGTGTGGGGATGGAGATGGATCTCTTCAGGAATGGGGCCAATGCTGAAGATAGATCTCTTGGCTTGTGTAGTTGGCTCAGAAGAATAGAAGGTTTCTTTGAGAACATCAAGTCATCAGGAGGTAATCAAGTAAGGCCTCCAACTGTTGAACTTGTCAGTTGATGCCACTTTTAGGTTGGGCTGGGGGGCATGAGGAGAAAGGGATGGTCTAAACTACACTTGCCAAGAGAAGAATGAACTTTGCCAGGGTCTCCAAGTGGCATGCATGATGCATCTGACATGCTGAGCCTTGCCCTACTGTTGTTCCCCCCGAAGCAGAAGGAGGGGAGAACAGCAAGTGACCCAGCGATCCCCAGAGGAGCTCTCCGTATGAAATCCCTCCATCCTGCTGCCAGCAGATCCCTACAGGATTGATTGGTGTGAGGGTGCCACAGTCTTTCCATCCCCAGTTTCAATTTGGAGACTGACAGAGAAGCAGCAGGTCCCTGGGGTGCACTCTCCTCCCCAGCCCCAGCAGCGGGGTGAGAGGAGCGGCTGAGGCTGAGGGTTTGGCTTTCTCTCCTCTGCCTCTCACCCTGTTTTAATTTTGATTTTTTTAAATGAGGTGCCACTAAACTATGGGCAGATCCCCAAAGGGTCTCTCCCAGGGTGAGCCTCGTCACAGTCACACAGACAGAATAAATTGTCCTTTGTCTTGTCCAAATGCTCTTCCCCATGATTCTGCTTCTTCCCAAACCTGCTGGGCTCCCACATCTGGTTGTCCAGTGGATATCCCTTGGGAGCTGGCAGCACCCATTAATCCTCAGTGACATTAAACTGATATTCTCACAATCGGAGGGATGCTCTGGAGGTACAACAAGCCCTCCAGATGCTGTAGCCAACTCCAAAATAGCTCCCTTTTTTTTAATAGCCTATCACCCTAGAAGATACCCTGGTTTCTGCCTGATCAGAGCTCCCCGTGCAGGAGGAAGGCAGCCCCAGCCTGGCCCCGGGTTATTTACAATGGTTTTTCCAAGGAAATAGCAGTGAGAATTTTGGGGGCAATTTGATGGGAAAACCTGGAGCTGCTTTTGAGCGTAAAACACCGCTTTTGGCTGCTTTCTCACACAAGGCATTGCAGGGCTGGGCCCAGCCCCGGTTTTAGCG